TCTTTGAAGCTGTCAACATTCTTCACCACATGCTCTGTCATGATGCATAGAGGCGACTGGTGAGATGAACCAGCTGTCCCTGCCTCTGGTCATTGCAAGGTCAACATGATCTAGCACACACACAAACACGCACGCACGCACACGTTAGGCTGGATGTCCTCTTGGTCTCGAGTTGAAAATGCCAACCATTGGAAGACTCCAAGTGCAATGTTAAAACCGTGACTTAATTGACGGCTGATTTTAAATGTCTCTCTGTGTTCCAGGTGGAGGAGGGAAGAGGAATGGTCGCAGTAAGAAATGGAAGGAGATGCTGAAACTCCCCCATATCAGCCAGTGTGAGGAGCTACGCCGCATTATTGGTAAGAAACGGTGTGCGTGTGTGCGTGAGGCAAAAAGATAACGTGCCATGCTGTGTCGTTGGGGTGGGTCTGACTCTGGGAGGAAGTTCAGATTGGACTTCCTTCCTGTTTCTACCCGTCTCCACCCGCAGTTACAGGCAGGGGACAGGAAACAGTGTATGTATCAGTGTGTGTGTGTGTGTTTGTGTCTGACTCAGGGAATCTGTGTGCACAGCCGTTTCTTAATCTCAAAGTCTCTCTTAACATTATGTGTGTGTCTCAGTGACTGTCTGTCTGCTAACACACCAAATCAAAAGGTCTTCACTCCTGCTTCCTTCCTGTTCACCACATCCAGGTTTGACTTAAAGATAGGGGAAGTAGTCTCTCTTTGTGGCCTAGACAAGTGCTCTACTCCTGGGCTACATTATCTTACCCCCCACCCTGGTCCTCTGAATGCCACAGCACTCTCGAGTGTTTGTGTTTGTGTGTGTGTGTGTGTGTGCGCGCCTGTGTGTGTAATAGTGCGTCACAGCAATCTCTGCCAGAGATTGCAGTGCTACCCTCCCCCACATACTCTCCCTCCCTCTTTTCTGTCTCCATGCCTCCCCCTCCCACTATCTGTATCTCTCTCCCTCCCTCTTTCCACCACTTCAGAGCAACATAAGAGTGGCAGAACAGGAGAGTTATGGAGAGAGCGAGTGAAAAACAGAAACCGAGAGAGAAAGAGGGAGAGAGGCTTCTACAACAGGAGGAAAGATCTCTTAAGGACAGGAGAGAGCCGGAGGAAAGGAGGGAGGCTGAGTGAAAGAGATGTAGATCCACAAATACTCCCTATGGTGATATCTCTTACTCAGTGTTGATTTTGTTCCTTGTCGTTTTGTCTTCACATTACAAATCATCACTCGCAGATCTAATTATCATAAACTTGAACGTATCCGTTGTCAGAGGCGTTAAATTACCTGCTTAGAAACAACACATAAATGCCACCTTTAGTGTGAAGAAGCATTGTACTTGTCATGGCTTACGTATTTATTGCCATTTGAATTATAACTTTGCAGAGGATTCTAAAAATGGGCTGTGTGTGTACGCGCACATCCATGCAGCAGCTGTTGAGGGTTACATACGTCACTATTACATAGATGCTGTTGCGTAATTTCCCTATCACACCGAGCGCAGGATCAAAATAATCCCTTTGCCAGTTAAACACACAGACGTGTAGGCATGTACATGCGCGCACACACACCCCAGTGTGCTGAGACGCACACGCATGCCCGTACACAGTGTGGGCACAGCAGATAGAAGGATACAGTATAGTGGCTGATAGCAGTGGCTTTGTTGTGTCTTGATATTGTCAGGCATTTGACCTTAGCCTTGACAAGTGTGCAGGACTTCTAGGAAGCCTAGATTACTTTATGTGGGCTGCAGCCTCTTTGTCTGCCAGCCTTAGGCCACTCTCCCCCCCTCTCCCTCTCCTTCTATCTCCCCTTCCCGTTTTTCTCTCCTCTGGTATCCATCCAATACATACAGTACATCTGCACCTATTGGTTGTGATCCCTGCGGGCACTGCCTTAAAGGAATGCACAGCCATTGCTTCCACGCGTGCACATTTGGATGGCCATTCACTGTCTCGCTAACTCACTCGGTCTCAGCCTAAATTGGAGTTTTAATTAAGTGGTAATTGCAGCTTACTTCACTGGCACAGGCATTTACTAGTCCAGGCTAGTTCAAGCTTCACAACTCTCCCTTCATTATTTTCAGTCCTTTCATTTTCCTGTCCCAATTTTCTCTGACACCTTGCTGTCTTGTAACTTCTTATTTCTCTTTCTCTCGTCTTACTTTCACAGTTGTTTTCCTTCAGGACACAGGAGAGGGTTCTCTTACGCAAAGAGGACATTTTTCATTCGTGGAATGCTGGCCTACGTTCTCGTATTCAAATGATTTAGAGCCTGGGATCAGCTTGGACACAGGCACACATACATGCTCTCACACACTAACTCAGAGCCAGGCCAAATACACCGTGGCTTCTTTTTGGGTCTTTGCTCACCTGCAGAACTAAGGATTCGGTTCCAAATTGTAGACTGTGAACATTAAGAGAACCACATTTAAGAAGGGAGCAAGATAAAGAGAGGGAATGTTCAAAGACACATATGTCATTGAGGCATGGTTTCTATTGTGACATAAACAGACATTGACACACTTAATGTTGTATTTCCAACTCATTAAGGCTGCAAAAACTAGAAACGTGTACATAAAGTGTACATTTATCATCCTTTTTACATATTTTTTTCCCCCAGTAGGTTGACATGAATGGCCTCTGCAGTAGTTCTCACTGGAGTATGCTGTGTTTTTAGAAAATTGACTTGTTTACCATTAAGTTAAGAAAACATAGATCCTAAAATCATTCATGTGTCCATGGGTATAGATTGTTGCCAAGTTGCAGTACTCTGTGCACTGTTAAAATGTAAACAAATTATGAGAGAAAAATAACACAGTATAGACAGAACGGGCTGAGACAACTCCCTTCTATTTAAATACCAAGTAAAGGCCTGCCACCACAGTCGACAAAACATGTCTTAACTCTGTACCAAAATCCATAAAATGTGCTTTTTTTGGTTTTCAGTACAGTTTTTACAGAAGGCTCAGAATGTCTCATCAAAATGATTTATATATATATATATATGTATCACTGGAATACACTCCCCTATTCATTCATATACACATATTTGTTTTATGTTGAAAACCTCTGGACAAACAGGCCAGAAAATGAAATAATTTGAAATTCTGTAAATATCCCAAACTTGTATAGTACCACTGGAATGCCAAAGCTTTACTTATTCTGAAAATAACAATGCATGGCATGGCCGTGCTATAAGCCTATGATTAAATATAGTGAAAACTGAGCAAAAGGGTTTAAAAGGTTCAATTCCATTAACTTGGATACATGGGTCGTTTTAGCGTCAGGTGTGTTGCAGAGTGGGTCGAATACTTAAAAACAGGGAAACCCTTTCAAGAACATTGCACAAAAGTTTCTGTGATTTTTATTATGTAAATTGGAGTGTGTCACCTCAAAGAGCGATCTGTTGTGCGGTGCTTCAGCAGAGGGTGGGTTCTCATGGCCTCTGAGTGGCAAGAAACACCAGCAATTACCTGAAACCTTATCCGGTGTCTCATTGTAAACTAGAGTATCAACCCAATGTTTTTAAACCTGTTGGTGCAGTGCAGCGTGGGAAAAACAAAATTCCCATAAGAAAATATAAACTAATGAATAATCTATAATCTCTAGCTTTTTGGTTGCTGAAGAGCAGACGGTAACGATGCAAACTGAGAGAGCTAAACTTTACTTCATTCAGTCCATTTTCTTCTGAACCAGACTGGAAAAAATGACTGTTGAATTTGGTTTGTTTAGGTTCACACTGCCCATTTGCAAACAAACCAGCTCATAAACACAAGTCACATGTACTCACAAGAGGCTTCTTTATTGGTGTTGATAACCTGTCGAGAGAGAGAGAGAGAGATTCACATTTTCAGGCACTGATTCGACACAACTCAAAACGGCATTGTTCCCACCTGGCCAGATGAATCAAACTAAAGGAGGAAACATTTCAAAGTTCAAACAAACTGCTCCAAACATTTTTCCTGTGCAGATGCGCTCAAATTGCCTTTATCAACTATGAGTGTGAGGGGCTTTCCCAGCTCCAGCTCACAGCTGAACACTGCTGATAGGGAAACACCAAAGCAGGCCCTCCAAAAACTTGGTGATCAAAGATGAAAGGCAATATCTGAAGGCAAGTGCAACGCAGTACAGTGAAAGATCTCTCAGTGAGATTTTCTGAAAGAGCTTTTGTTCTTCAGGTTTAAAACATAGCGGTCACACAGTGGAAAGGGAAGCAATAAAAATATCATATCTCTACACGCTACTGTTTGCACACTAAAGTGATATCTTTGTTTTTGTGGTCATATAAGTGGTGAGTTTGAATGAGAAGCACCGAGCTGCAGAGCAGAGGGGAACGCTCGTCGTGTAATAAACAGTGCAGCTGGGAGGACTGTTGTGAAGATTTGATTTACTGTTGGAGGTTGTCCTGTAGCTGTCACCACTCAGAAATGTTCATCCCATGCATCCCTCCTCCTCCTCTATTCACAAGTGCGCATGTGTACGTGAATGTGTGTGGCCTATTTTTGTTTGCATGTTTATCTTGTGTGTGTGTATGCGTGTCTGTACTGTCAACCAGTGATGGAAAACGTCCTGGGTCTTCTTCCTCATTTGGTACCAGAGGAAATATGACTCAAATGGACGCCATTAGTCCTAATAGGCTGGGGCCAGCTGCACAGGAGACACAGACACACATAGAGAAACAATCACTTAGGCGTGCGTTGTGTCGTGTTTTTAGCATCTTGTAGCATGCTACGACAAGCAAATATTTTCTCACCCTTTTAGTATCTCTGCAGTTTCATAGTATGTTCATCAGTGAGATTAGTCTACCTTAGCTATGTTACTGTACATGATACAATAGTTCCTCTCAAAGGTAGGGCAATATATCTTTAAACTTCCACACTATCTAAAATACACATTGTAACATTGTATACGCATTTATAAAGTGGCTAATTTTGTCATTAATAAAGATATGAGTTTTAAAGTTTTCCCCGTCTGTTTTAGTTAACTTTGGTTGGTTTTCATGAGTTTTTCTGGAAGTGGTGTTCCTGGGATTTTCTCTCTGTATATTTTAAGGTTATCTTCCTTTGTCCTGGATAATAAAAGTTGACCCCCTTGTCTGGTTTACAAAGATAACAACAACAACAACTCCAGCTCCCATTGAAAACTACAACTTAGCTTTCATTGGCTAACGCGTGGGATATGTTGTTTATATATGCTAAGCAGGAAAAGTTTTGTTTTTATTGTACAAATGTACTATGTAGTAGTATGTATTTAGTTTGGAATAAGTATTTAAAAACCAAGGTTCATGTTTTAGTTTTTTTTTTAAATAATTACAGAATTGTTGTCAAACTGAGGCTAACTACGTAGGAGAAGTTTTTGGGACTGTAATGTTGGCTCTTATTTTTTGTTTAAGAAGTAATGTCATTTTTTGAACTCAGGAAAATATATGCTAGGATGACTGTTGCAATAATAATCACAGGTATGTTAAGCTAGTGAGCTAAACTAGTCTAATCACACGGGACCACTTTATAACTGCAGATGACATGAAAAAGGCATCCATGGCTTATTTGTGACTGCCTTTCACTGGTGCTCCTTTGCTTGCATGTCTGAATTATGAGCGGTTCACTCAGTTTACCTTCTCAGATTGTTTGAATTTTTTTGGAGGCTTGAATGATATTTTGAGAATGTTGTTTTTTTTTGTTTGTTTTTTTTTTTACAAAAAAGCAAAGCTTTGAGAAAAGTTGGAAAACAAGTTTGATAATTTTATGTAGAAGAAGATTTTATGTTTTTTTAAAATCATTTCTTACTCAGACTTTGAAGACTCATACTGTGACTGCTCAAGGGGTCCTGATCCCCATGTTTGGAACCGCTGTTATAGTGTATATTTCCAGTGTAATGACAATTCTCCATCTTTCTCCCCCCTTGTCCCCCTCTCCTCTTGTCCTCCCAGAGAGGGACTACACCAGTCTATGTGAGAAGCAGCCCATTGGTCGGCTGTTATTCCGTCAGTACTGTGACACCAGGCCAGAACTGAAGCGCTGCATTGAGTTTATGGACGCTGTGGTAAGACTTTGAATGAACTTGTTACCATTACCTGCTTATTCTCTGATGTTCTTACAGCTATCCGTCTTTCACACATCCTCTTTTACTTGTCTGTCCCTGTTTCTGTGTCCCAGTCTCTCTCTCTCTGTTATTTCTCCCATGAGACTGGCCAGAATCTGGGCCCACAGAGCAAGGAATAGGAGAGGAAAGGCAGCGCTTGGTCCTTTGCCTGCTCTTGGCAGTAGCTTGGGGTGGTGGGTGGGGTGGGCGTAGGGGGTGATTAGTGACTTAGACAGGCTGTCAAAGAGCAGACCCCTCCCCTTCCTCCATGCACTCCTCCATGAGGTCAAGCCCACGTCAGAGGCAGGTCCCCTGGGTGAGCAGGCAAACACAGGCCCAAGCTTGTGTCTAGGCCCCTGGAGGTATGCGAGAAAGGAAAACAGGGGGGGATCATGCTTATTTAATAAGAACCTACATTAGTCTTTTTCAAGGTAGGGCGACAGGCTCGTAGGTACGCACACTGGGAGTCACACATACACTGACTGACAAAAAGACAGAAGACAAAAAGAAATGAAACTAGCAACATTTTAAGTGCTTAATGTGTGCTGTTGGTCCCACTGAAGACCTCATGTCTTGGCTGTGATGTGTAGTCACACGTCTCGAGCCCATTCCTCTCTCCGCCGAGCTTGTTTTCAAACAAAACACATGGCTCGAAGCAGTCAATCTCCAGACCTTCTCCCTGCCTACAGCCATATTTGACCAAAATCACAATCTGTGATGGTGCAGTGGGGTGAAAACTAAAGCCTGGTAGATGACAGATGTAACGGGCAAAGTGTGAAGATGAACATGGTTGCCAGTTTGCTGCCTTGACTAAGATGAGATGTTTTGTCACCAGTAACATGTTTCTATTTGTCTGCAGCCCAACACTCATTTCTATTTTAATTTCTTCTCCCTTGTTCCTTATTAACCCAACCTTTCTTTCTCTCTTCCCTGTCTCAAACTTCCTCTCTGTCTTCTGGTGCCCGTCTCTCTCTCTTTGACCTTATTTGGAGAGATATTAAAGATGGCTGAATGAGTACGCCTTACTACGCTGCTGCTGTTGTTCACACTTGTGTTTTTCTCTGACAGGCCATGTACCAGCTAGCTCCTGACGAGAAGAGGAGGGACTGTGGACTGAATGTTTTAGACACATACTTTAATAATGGGGTAAGATGCACACGCTTGCTTAATTAACTGAGCTGGCCAATAAGGACAGTAGAAATTATTGTTATATCCATTAAAGATACTTGTTGCTCACATTTGCAGAAGTGCATCTCAAATGTCTCTGTTTTGTTATGTTATCATAACATTCACATTTATTAATGACTAAAAACATATTTGCAATTGATGCATAATTTATCATATGTGGTGCACTGTATCAACCCCTCCCTACTGGTGTGGTAGTAGCACCTCTATATGCAGTAGTATTAAGCAGTTTATACTGTTCTCTCTGTTTTTATTCTCGTGGTTTGTTATTTAGCGTTATTGGTTGAGACTAACAAGACTTAATTTCTCATAAAATACCACAAACCTAGAAATAGAGTAAAGGAAACAGGCTGTCCTATAGTGCGAGCTAGAGTAGATGTATAAGGTTTAGCTTCAGAGGGTTTACTGTCACAAACCCATATCACACAGTCTTGTGGGTTTCACTTGTTGTGATCTCAACACAACCACACCAAGACCTTTATTTTGAAGCTTGGTGCACTTCGGTCCTCAAAAGAGTTTACAGCGCCCTGCCCACACTAAATGAACTGGACCAAACTGACAAATGAACCCAAGTTGTTTTGAACTGGACTGAACAGGTGAAGTATGACCACAGCCTTGATGTCATGCCCTACTACCCAGACTGCACAGGTTCACAAACAGAAAGGGACGAGCCAACTGATAACGTTTTGATCTGTTTTCATAACCTTGACAGTCTGCAGACATATTACACCATGATCTCACTTTGTTTCTGTCCCTCATCTCTCTATCCGCCTCACTCTCTGTCTTTTTCTCTTTAACCCTCAAGTCGGCAGCCCATCTGCCAGACGTACCCCAGGATGTGGTAGCTGGGTGTCGGGAGAGGCTGGAGCAGAGTCCGTGTAAGGAGCTCTTCAATGACTGCACCAAGTAAGTCTCCATCTCTTCCACATATCTGCCATATTGGGTCCTTTTTATACTCTGTGACTTGTGACTAGTTGCGATAGGATTCAGTTGGTTCATGAAATGCTTGTTTGTTGGAAGCGTATAGACTTTGTGTTTTTGTTTTTGATTGAGTCTGGCCGTCAAAGTGCAGTGGCACCAACAGCGTCCTGTTCCTTCAAAAAGTGTGTGTGCGTGTTTGTAGACCGTGTGGACTAGAGCACCCTGTCACTAGTGATGATGAGGCAGCTGGCACCTGGAGTGCAGTATTACACACACACAGACTTGCAAACACACATGCACAGTGGAGGCGAATGAAAAAAGAGCGGTGGGCAAAGAGAGCATCCGGATGGCTGGCATGAAAACAACAGCCACCTCAGTGTTCCACACACACACACACACTCTTGCAGGTGTTTCTGCTTCCTGCTCTGAGAGCCAGGAGAAGCAAACAGACCGGGGATTATTACCCCGAATGTACTTCTCATTGCATAGACACACACATTCAAACACCTCGACGTAACTTTCTATTAGCCCAATAATTTAACTCTGTCACAGTTAGTTTCTGTGGCTCAGGACGTCAACTGAATGATCTATTGTGGAATGTATATCATGATAAGTTGGCACATTTACATTATGATAAATGTATTAATTACTGTTGTTTGCGTCAGTGCATTATACTTCATTCTCTACATTTTTTTTTTGGTCTCCTTTTGGTTCATCTCTGATGTGTTTGTGTCGATTAAGATTGTTGATGGCTGACCTGTACTGTGTGATGATTGGTTGGCAGCAGTTCTAGTTACATATCATAGGTTGTTGCAACTTTTCTGATGTTAATTAAAGGGAATTTAGAATTGTGATGCGAGTATATCAAGATTCATGATGTTGGTAATATAATACATTTTGATTATTGTTCCTAACCAGAAAACATCGCAAAAGTGCTTAATAGACAAGTATACACATTGTTTGTTGAAAGATTTTGCTGGCAGTGAATTGGCAGAAAGTGATTTGCAAATGACATGTGACCCTAAGCTTCTTCCATACAAGGCATTTTATTTAATTGAATTTGTATGTCAGGGACCGTGTGCAATATGAATTTTAAACAAAAGAAGAAGTATAAAGATAAACTATATGGCATAAATATAAAACATCAATACAATACGTACAGTACAATCCATGATACACAAAAATCCATGTTTCCTCATTCGTCCAGGGGAGAGCTGAGTTTCTGTGATGTCCCAACTTTTACGCACGCAAGCAGACAGATTTGGGTTGGAAACGCTGTGGCCAGCTTCTGATTCACTTGAGCTTCCCCGGGGGAATACCGGAATCTGCTAGAAGGAACTCAGGAGAAGCGGGACTCATGGTTGGGAAAACACTGAGTTGTGTTCTCAGCCTGCGATCCTGTTTTGGCAAAACATATGTAGAGAGCTGTTCAAGAGCTGTTGGATTTCTAAAATCAATAACCCATATGGTTCATAAGCTGGTCATGCTGACTTTGAAGGACACATACACTGTTGGTGATTTTCTTTTATGTTGTAATGAATCTGCTTTCCAGGCATGGATTTATCCAAGTTATATAGACGAGTAGTTTTGTGGGCTGCAGTAACGGAGGTGTGACATCAAGTTAATCTTGTTTTTAGCTTATTGATTTAGCTTCATTATTGTGTGTGCTGGTACGGTTTGCCTCAGAGTTTTGAGGATGACAAAATGAGCAGTCCAGATACATAAGAGATTTGTGTGTGTGTGTGTGTGTGTGTGTGTGTTAGTGTGTAAAAGAAAGCAAATCAGAGGGAGTTTGAGCTGGGCAAGGCGGGTGGCTTGTGTGCCGAATGAAGCTAGAAACACAACACACACACAGCACACAACACACACACACACACACACCACACACACACACACACCACACACACACACACCACACACACACACACACCTGTCTTCTCTCTTTGGCATCTCAGGTTATGGTCTGTTGGCCCTGTTTCCTTCCCTTCTTTCTGCATGCATCTCTATTTTAACACCTCTGGGTAGCCAACAGGCCACTGGGGAGGGCAGTGAAATGGTGTGAGAAAGCGAAGTTCCACACTTTGTGCCGTGGGAAGCACAGCATCCACTCCATTCAAACTTCTCGACTGGATTTAAAACACACCAAGCTAGGAAGTGACAGGCCGTCAGAAAGCACAGCATGAGAAAACCCACGGAGAGTAGTGAAAGGACAGCAAAAGGGAGAAATGGAAAGAAAGTGTTAAGAGCGGGGGCAAAACAGCGCGTGTACAAAGAGTGTACAAACAGCACAACACAGGCACGTGTTTGTGTTACTGAAAGCCTTGCAGTAATAGCATTGCAGATGTTTTTGAATGGGATTCCTGTTCAAGTTTGGTCATCACTCCTTCCACTATTATTATTATTTATATTCCGTTGTGGAATTTTAATTTTCTTTAATTTCTTATTCCGATATGTAATTCTGACCCAGGGCTTATTTATTTATTTTTTTCTCTGAGGGAAAGCCTGTAGGAAAGCATGGTGCTGCACGGGGAAACAGGATTTTTGGCAGAGCCACACTCCCACTTGCAGAAATGTAATAGCTCACTCATGGATTTTCTTCTGCTGCAGTAGAACATACGGTTATGTCACACCAAGAGTGAAGTGTGGCCTTCAGAACATGTGTATCATTGTCTTTTGTGTATCGCCGGTCTTGACAAAGGTCTGTGTGCTGATTTTTCCCCTTTTCTTTTCCTCTCCCTCTCCCTTAGTGTAACAAAAGCCATATTGTAGCTGTGTTTATTTCTACTCCCAGTGGTGTCTGTCTGAGACTCCAGGCCAGGCACTGCTAGGCTCCTGCCTTTCTGGAGCCCCTTTCTTAAAGTGTCCGGGACCAGTTTTGTTTCGTAAGACTGAGTGAAGCCAGTTGACCTGAACATCATTCAGGCCATGGTTTAATGTCAGATTTGAAACAGAACTTGATACAGGAAAAAACATATGCTGCCATATGATTGTATTGAAAACATTGTATTGTATGTGTGGCGGTTACAGGGCACAAGAACTTTCCAGGGTATTTTAATTAGTTTAATTGAGCTTTGATGTACATGCTTTTAGTAAAACCTCTGTGAACTCCGACACTGCTGAGAACAGACTGATAAAGTCCTGTAGACACAGTTCTTCCACTGCAAAGGATAGATGGACATTCATCTCATCTGTAAAGCAACTAGGTCCCATGATGACATAATTTAGTTTTCTTTTACACAGCAGAGGGTGCTCCCCTTGTGGAAACTCTCTACTCCTACTCCGAGCCCTTTGCCAAGAACAGCCACCCCAGGGCTGTTGCTAACCACAGGCAGCCTTCCTCATCCTCTTTAGTGATGAAGTAATTTTAAAATATGGTCAGGGAAAATCTCCTTGCCAAATATGAGCATCTCTTCAACATTTGGGTGGTTGAGGAGGAATATCTACTGCATGGTTTTTAGTCTTTAGTCTTTTTAGTCTGTTATAGGCTAGCAGTGGAGATCACACTGGTCTGCAGGAGAGACAGTGGTACTGGTTTAACGGTTCTTGCCTGCTATGGTTTAGAAGTAGTACAGCTCAGTTACATTTACGCTTGTATTTGACCGAATCCCAAACTAAGGATATTATTGATTTAATTTGATGTTAATTGCCTATGTTTATGGTTGCAATTGTAGTAAGATTGTTGGCTAAGTGCTACAGGTATTCCACATAATAGTTAAAGATGACTAAACACTTCTTCAAACTAGGGATGCACCAATTGGATTGTTGAAGTCACATTATATGAAATTGTCACTCATATCGACCAATATCCACGGAGACGGGTGAGAAGAGTACAAATGCGGACGCGGAAAAAGGTTAAGTGTTTCTGACATGCCTGTCTTCGGGTAAATAAGTAGTACTAGTACTCACCTCTGGCCTTTTGGCTCATACATAAAGCTGATGCAGGGACCTCTTAAAACCTGCTTTCTTCAGCTTCATAGTTGGCCGTGAGAGGTGTAAAGCCCCTATTGTCTGTCAACCATGATGCAACTGATCATGTTTTGGATGACAGATTTTTGTCTTGTGCTGGATATAAACTCTGCATCAGAAGCTTGCATTGGTAACTTATTTTTCTTGTCCCAATTGAATATTTGCTACGTCAGTGAACTAGGGATTTCACAGAATAGTCGGCTGTCAAAACCACTAGTCAAAACTGTACATCATTGTAGGCTCCAATTGTGGTCTCTACTATTTCACCTACTCCCAGGTTGATCCTGCCTACATCAGTTAACACTTTACTGGTTGTATTTGATGATAACTGATCATTGTAATTGGGTAATTACTAATAAGAGAAAGGGCTAAACACTTGATATTAAAGAATTGGACCCACAACTCTGGTGTAGTAATGTCAAAGTTTTTCCCCTGGCATTCGTCTCTTTTCTCTGTTTAATTATGTTATCTGTCGGCAGCAAGGACAGTATTATTTTTTTCCATAGCCCTTGAAGTAACTGTGAACCTGTCTCAGTACAGTTCAGTTCATGTCTGTTTGGTACAACAGTGTTAAAGAGGACATTTTGTTTAAGTCAAACAACATCTGTAGTCAAAGCAGTGAAAGAGGACACTAATACTGAGATGTTGGCAGGGTCATGTCAAAGAGTCATGTTCTTTCAACTCCCGGTGGAGTGACGGTTAACGAGGAGGGGACTGTGGGGTGTGACCTTTCATGAGCCCCTCCTCTCCTCAGAGAACTTTATTTTTGTGTCATCACAGGTTTCTGTTACCTCAATCCAGGACTTTTACAAAATGTCATTTCTTTGGGGGGGTGATTATGTCTGAATGTATGACATTCGGAGAGACTCACCCACATTCACGTGCGAGGCAAGGTGAGATTAGATGTTCCGCTCAACCTCCTGCTCAGTAAAAACCGGTTTCCCCAAAATCCCCCGTTTCCTGGTTGAGCTGAGTGGAATGTCTCTGTTCAAAGGCATTTTTCATTTTTCACGGTGGTGTATCGGCACTGAATGTTTTTTCCAGTATTTCCACTGAGAATGGCTTTGAACCGTAACACAGCCGGCAATGCCTAAACACACTCACACGAACACACCGACATACACAAACATGCTCACATATGTGATTCAGGGTTTAGTCAGATAGAGAGGATGTGTGTGCTTGTAGTCATTGTGAAGGTTAAAAGGCGTTTTCTGGGGAACGCTGGCCAGCTCTTCTGTCTGATTTGTCAAGAAACCTTACATGCACTTGTATTTTTGTCCTGGGTTTCTTGTTACATCTTTATTACCTTGTTATTAAATGATCATCAACCCTCTTTCTCCCTCCCTCCTTACAGAATAGTTCGTGATTATTTGAGTGGAGCTCCATTTTCCTCCTACCAGGAGTCCATGTACTTCTCTCGCTTCCTGCAGTGGAAATGGTTGGAGAGGTGGGTAGTCACTACAGATTACACACTTGGTAAAGCAGACATGCAAACCATTCCTTTTTCTTACATAGAAATGACACCTGTAATCTTACACACATTCTCTGTTTAAGGTTGCATCGTTCATAAGACTTCTTTGTTTGCAATCAGCAGATTGTCCAAACTGTTTTTTTTTGATGATTAATTATCTCACAAGGAAAACAACTACAGATAATAAAGTACATAATTAATCAATCTAATAAAAAAAGAATGATGATAACCTTGTTTTAATATATAGCAGAAGAATGCTTACAAACCATAAATGAACAGTCAAACATTCCAGTATACAGTATATATAGACTAGTAGCAGGGAAGGTGCACCAAAAACACAAAGGTGGTGCTATCAATCAGTGTTTCTGTGTGACCAGTAAATAATTGATGATGCTTTGCATAATGGCTGGGTAACTGAAGCAGGGTGGAAACAGCAGCCATCAGGATGAATTAATAATATATTAGAGCATTACTCTGTCTGCAACTTCACATGGTCTGAGAGAATGGCATAACATATCAGGTATTTTACGTCTTTTTTTTTTGTCTTTCTTCTTTCCACCCCTGCAGGCAACCAGTAACCAAAAATACCTTCAGACATTATAGAGTACTAGGAAAAGGTGGATTTGGCGAGGTGAGTGTCCAGAAGTGAAATGGAAATAACTAACTGGTTATTAAAGTTTTTATGATGGATGCTGAGGCAGCTTTATGTTCCCTTACACAGTACACAGAAAGTTGGAAATGAGACATTAATGTTAATGATTTAAGTTGCTACAAGTAGCCTTTAACAGTTAGTTAATGCTGTGCTGTTTATGTCCCCACTCACTTAAGGTTGTGTGTAGAAATCTGTGGTGTGACACATTAACTTCCATTAGTTGTACTTTTAAAGTGTGTTTTTTTTATGTGCATGTGTGTGTGATAATGTTTCCTCGCTGCTTGTTTTCCAGGTTTGTGCCTGCCAAGTACGTGCCACCGGTAAGATGTACGCCTGTAAAAAGCTGGAAAAGAAACGAGTGAAGAAAAGAAAAGGTGAAGCAATGGCACTAAACGAAAAACGCATTTTAGAAAAAGTTAACAGTAGTTTTGTAGTAAGTACTACCTTTTTATTATTCAACCTTTCAACAGAAATGTACCTGTTTTGTCTGTCTGTGTGTCTGTGTGAGTGTTGCGTGCGTTCTGTATGTGAGAGCATTGCTTGTTGTGGCTCCAGAATCCTGCAAATGAAATTAAAATGGTGTGTGTGCAAGGCTGTCGATCAGCTGTTACAGACAGTTGCTGTGACTCAAATTCAAGTTTGCTCAGTGACGTCCAGGCCAGTTTGATGAGCTTGTAAGTCGCAGTGGAAAGAAACACGCTGGGATAAAACCACAAAAGGGGGAAAGAAAAGTCCCATTTGATATAACTGACCAGCTGCAGGTGACAGCACACTGCAGGGCAGTTTGCAAGGATGTGCAAACATTTCGGTAAGTTTAGCTTTTTATGCGCATCAGCAATCAAAGCCAAATCTAAATTTATTTTGGTAATAAACCTGCTAAATAAACAGGCAAAATGCCTGCGCAAACATGCCAAATCTGATTTCATTTGGAGCATACTGTCAGCCTTTAATCATCTGTGAATGTATTCTAAAATGTGATTGCTATCTGTTTTGCTGCCATAAGATTTGTGTGTGTTCTTGATATATTGACTCAAACATGCAGATTGTTTGTGTACCTTTTGACAGGTGTGTGTCATAGATTGTAAGGAAAAATAACACACCCTAACCCATGCCCCTTTTGCACCTGTCAGAGCAGGAAGTGTCAGATTTCAGGGCCGATTTTGAGGAAGCACCGGTCTGTAGAAAAATATGAAAATGATTTCCAAAGAAATTCATAGAAGCATTGCAGTTCCTTTCATAAGGAAACAATATTAAACCTGCTCTTCCTGGTTGTCCAACCAAACTAAACAACCAGTACATAGGCCATTTATAGCATTACTGTATGGTGCTTTAGCTAGAACACCACAAACTGCAGGAAAAGACAAGGGGGCTTTAGCACCCTCCAAAGACTCATTGTTTTGCAAACCAACTACGTTGAATTGCCCTGAGGAATTTTGCAGCACAATTTAAGTTTCATAATAGAGCAACAGCATAGAGAAGAAAGTAGTACAGTGTCCTGCTCAGAGCATGTGTGCCAGCCCAGAAAAAAAGAAAAGAAAAAAATCATTACCCTGCCACCGTACCACCATGCTTCAAGCTCTTAATGGTGGCGTTGCTTTTGGCTGATTTTCCTATGGAGGATTTTCATAAATTGAGCCATAGTCATGAGTAAGCGGTGGTTTTTGGCTGGTGCTGTAATGCCAAGCTTGAACGCTTTTTAGGGAGTCACCTAGCTTTTCATTTCTTCCATGCTCTACCAAAGTACTGACGGGCAGAAATTTACAGTCGACAGTCCATTAACATGTAAGATGATACATTATAGGAACAGTGCAAGACCTGAAAGGGAGCTATCAGTAATGTCTATGTGTCATAAATGAAATTTAAGAGTGATGAGACTGGAATAACCTTGCATGTGTAATTTATTTCCATTAAATTTCTATGAAAACAATGCTGAAATACACCTGAAATAAGGAAGATTAACTTTATTAGCTGGTGTTTTGTTAAAGGTACATTGTGTAGGAATTTCTCCCATCTAGCGGTGAAATTGTATTTTGCATTCAAACGAAT